TTCCCACCGGAACTCTCGTGCTCCTGCCCCCTGCTCACCTTGAGGCAGGAGCCCCCCTGGACCCGCTGCAGCTGCGCCTCCAGCAGGGCCTTGGCACCCTCCAGGCTGGTGAGCGCGGTCAGCAGCTCGTCGCGCTCGGCCTCCAGGCCCCGCACCTGCTTGCGGTACTGGTCCTTCTCGATGAGGCTCTGTGAGTACTGCAGCTGGATCCGGTCACGGCTCTGGATGGCCTGGGGAGAACGGGCAGAGAGGGAGGGTGCAGGGGCCGCCCTGACCCAACCGTCCTGCCCTCTCGGACAGGGGCGGCACAAGACCAGCCGCTAACGTTTATCAAGCGCTTCCTGGGCGCTGGGCCCTGTGCTAAGTATCAGGCTGCCCACTCAATCTTCGCACCAGCTTTCCACGGTGGAGATTCTCTTTGTCCTCATTTTACAGACAGCCCAGCCAGCGGGCACAGAGCTGGGATCCAGAGTCAGGTCCAGGCTCTTACTGTTTCCCAAGAGCAACGGAAGCCCCTTCTGGGAAACGTCCTGTGTGCCTCGGCCTTTACTCACAGCATCCCAGCTCCCGGGGGAACCAGGGTTCAAACCCAGCCCACTCCACCCAAAGCGCTTTTCCCCACCAGGAAGACCAGGGTCCCTGGGAGCTGGGCCATGGCCGGGACCTGCCACCCAATGTCTCAAAAGGAGCGGGAGCCAGAGATGGTGCAGATTCCTGGGTCCCCCCCCCTCCTCCGGACCACCCGGGTCACCTGCACCTTCACCCGACCCAGCAGGGGGCCCCGAGGCCCATTCTAACATGTAGACTTCCACTCCTCTAGTAGGATTCGAACTTGGTGCAAGGACAGCACCTCCCGCCCTTCCCCCCTCCCCGCGCGGGGAGCCCCGTACAAGGAGGGCCGGTGACCTGGAGGAATAGCTCACCCTGTGGCCTCAGGAGGTGAAGGCCATGGCACCCAGGGCCCGCGAGCCACAACTTCGGTGAATTTCCTTCACCGGCAAATATTAGCAAGCACGGCCCTGTGGAGGCCTTGCCCTCGACGTGAAGGGAACAAGGGCTCCGGAAGCGATGAGTGCCGGGACCCCCTCTCCTCGACCAGGAGCTGGGGTGAGGCAGGTGTGTTGGGGGGTGCGGGGTGGGGGGGGGGAAGGTTGGCCTATCTGAGTGCTTCCGGTACCTCGGCCCACTCGCCCCGCCTAAACCAATCAGCGCTCCGGGCCGGGCGGAAGTCTCCGGCTACGGTTCTGGCCCCGCCCACTCCCCCTCTGTCTCCCCGGGGGGAGAAGCGGTGGCCGCCCTCACCTGGTCGCGCTCCTTCTCCACCTCCTCCAGCTGGGCCAGGACAGTGGCCATGCGGTGCTTGTACAGATCACAGTCCTTCTGCAGCGCGCGGTGCTTCAGCCTCAGGTCCTCCATCTCCTGCAAGTACTGCGGGGCCGGGAGGGGGCAGGGCGGGGCGTGCCCGGCTCAGACCACAGGCCTGGGCCCCCCCCCCCCACCCCGGGCAAGCTCACCAGCAGGTGCCCGGCAGGTCCAGGGAGAGAGGCCTGAGCCACAATAACAAGCGCCCCACCTCCCTTGGCTGAGTGGCCTGGGCCACCGACCGACTTCACCACCCCGGGCCTCAGTTGCCCAACCTGTAAAACGGGGGCGACCATAACAATGGTACCTTCCCAGCCAACCTCGGCCTCCCCATTTATCTTTTTTTTTTTTAACGTTTATTTATTTTTGAGATAGAGCGTGAGTCAGGGAGGAGCAGAGAGAGAGAGAGAATCCAAAGCAGGCTCCAGGCTCTGAGCCATCAGCACAGAGCCTGACGCGGGGCTCGAACCCTCAAACTGTGAGATCGTGACCTGCGCCGAAGTCGGACGCTCAACCGACTGAGCCACCGAGGCGCCCCTCGGCCTCCCCATTTAAACTGCAATCTGCCCCCTCCCCCTGCTGCTCTCCTTCATGCACAGCACTTATCACCCTCCGCTACGTGAAGTAATGGACCCGGGATAGTGTGAGCAGAGTGCTGTTGGTCTCCCCTGCTAGGATTTAGCCTCTGCAGGAGCAGAAGCCTTTGTTCTGTTTGCTAATGACCTCAATATTTGAGAACAGATGAGTGCGCCTTTCTTAGCCCGGTAGGCACCTGGCGCACAGTAGATGTCAGAGAAGGTGATGCCCACCCTCCCCCCTGCTCTCCCCAGGAGCCGGTCTGTGAGCAAGGAGGAAGCGGGGACCGGGCAGGGACCGGGCAGGGGTAGGGTAGGGCGTGAGGTAGACGCTACCTTGTCCCGCAGCTCCTCGGCCCACTGCAGCTCCCCCTGCACGGCGTGCAGCTTCTGACACAGCTCCTGCCTGCTGTCCTGTGCCTCCCGCCAGTCATGCTCCAGGATGTCCAGGAGGATGCGCTCCGAGCCTGGGGCCCCCAGCCTGCTGGCCTCCTGAGGGTCATGGTTCAGAAGCCGCCTCAAGCTCCGGCCCAGGGCCCACCTTGACTGTGGCAGGAGGGAGGGGGACACACAGCCCTCGCCCCCGCCCCCTCAGGCCTGCCTCACTAGCTCTGCCACCGTGGCCACGGGCCTTGACCTCTCTGGACCTCCCTTTCCCAGTCTGTGGAGGAGGTGTGGCCCACAGCCCCGCACCCTCGAGGGAACATCTGGGGTGGAAATGAAGTGAATGAGGACGTGCCTGCACAAGTTGGCCTGGATCTTATTCCTAAACAAGAACCAGGCCCGCTCGCTCTCGCTCCAGCCCCCGGCCAGACCGCCCAGGGCAGCAGATGGGTGCCTTTTCCAAAGCCTAGCCCCACCCCTCTGACACTGGTTCCTCACGGGGGCTGAGCCTGGCCCAGGCAGGTGGCCCATGGGCCCGAGATCCAGCCCACAGAGCCACACCCCAGCTGGGCACCCCGACCCTGTGGGAGTCCTGGCTCCCATCCCCCACTTCCTGTGTGGAGCACCGGCCAGGCAATAGGCCCGCTGACTGGCCAGGGACCACCCAAGCCAGCCCCAGGGCCATCCAGACCTCAGGGGTCTGAATCTTTCCAGGGTCACGGGCTCCTCTACAAATCTGAGGAAAGCTGGGGGCCTCTCCCCAGAAAAACGTTCACACGCAAAATCAGGTGCACCGTTTCGGGGAGTTCGGAGACCTCCTGGGGTCACCCACGGGCCCCAGACCAAACACCCGGGGAGGGCCCAGCGCTGAGAGCCCTCCGCTCAGAGCTGGAGACAAGAGGCTAGCCGGGGTTCCGCCTCTGGTTCTAGAATCCTCGTTCTCCAGGTCTCAGGAGGATGGGTGAGCGGCAGGCGGTCTGACCCCCCCCTCCACTCCCCCTCGCCAGCCCTCACACCTGCGGCAGACCCTCCTGGAGCTCCTGGAGCGACGCCGTCAGTCGCTGGTTCTCCGCGCGCAGCTCCGAGACCAGGTCCACGCCGTCTGGCTCCTTGTCCTTCT